GAGTGGGAGAGAGCGAGAGGGGGGGGACGGTTCAAAAATCAACTTCTGGGTCAGTTTTAAAAGCCTAGAGCAGACCTAGCAACAATGTCGCGGGACTTAGTATGGCGACGGTTTGGCGAGACCATGTCCACATGTCCCAATGTGTGTGTTATGTATGTGTGTGTGTGTGTGTGTAAATATTTTTTTTTTAGTTAGGTTTTCCTCAACTAGATTAGCCTTAGGCAAGTGTTACATTGCCCCAAACGAGACAAGCTCGAGGTCTTGAACGGTCTCCTGGTATGTGTAGTTTTTGTGTAGAGCAATGCAAATATAGGTGAGTGTAAGGAGGGATGAGGATATGACAAGGAGGAGAAAGAAAGATCACACGTTGTCCATGGCCCCTTTGTACGGTATGCTCGCAGCATTCGTCTGGTGTTGATCGAAGAAAACCATGGCAAATTTACCCGATCAGAGCACCCGGTCGCCTGTATTGGTCCTTCTAAATTCGACCTAGCTTGACAACCCAGAGTCGAAAATCCTGCCGTCAGGAACTGCGAACCGTAGTCAGCCTGCAGTGCAAAGCCGTTTGCGTGTAGTGCGTACCTGTGGCGGCTGAGCTCCTGCGCGAGCCGCTGCCCCACAAGGCCGACGCGTTCCGAGGAAGCCCAGGGAGAGCGGGCGGCGGCTCCGCTCGCGGCCGAGCGAATGCGCGCCACCACGCGCCCAGGTCCTTCCTCCGCCTCCATCCAGCCAGCCCTGGCGCAGCCGCTTCTGTAGCGCGCGCGGTCTCACCTTGCGCACCATCGACACGCCCTGCACTAGCGATTTGTTCAACCGCGCACTTGGACTAATCAGCTTCAGTTCACGGTTTCATCCCATCGGAGCTCGAACGTCCCAGCTGTTTGGACATATAAGTTCTGATTAAATGAAACGCGCAAACAGCTGATTCACGTGAAGAGTACGGATTTATTTAGTCGTGCACTTGACGTAAATCACGCTGTTCACGGTCTCCAATTCAGGAAGCTTTGCACCTCCACATAGTGTCGTTAGTGTTAAGCGATTGGATGAATCCGCAACACTTGAATGTACGTTAGTACTGACTAAATAATTCGTACCTATTTTTTTATAGGAGGAGATTCAACTCGGGGGGGGGGGATGAAACGCATGTCAAATTAGGGATCGATAATAAAACATCGATGTTTTAAAAAATCGTTTAAAAACCATCGATGTTTTTAAAACTGATTTAATAGCATTTAGTTGTAATTTTGGCGAGGTGAAAAAGTTAGAGCGGGATTACCAAGTTCATTGATTGATCGATTCATAAGGGTGTCAACAGCTACCGTTATTAAGTGTAGGGCGTGTTGTTATAACGGTAGGTGTCGGTAATTTTCTCCGGTAAAATGTGCGCTATGGGAGAACATTTGAAGGCATTTTGGACCAATTGCCGTCAAGTCTTGGTAGATGACCACCAAGCACGTTGATTGATTGATTAGTGTTTTCGGATGTGTCAGCTGTTATAGTCATTAATTCCGTGAGTGAAATACGTGTTTTATAACCGGAGGTTATCTTCTCCCTCAGAATAGTGAAATCTTATGCTGACCTACATGTTGACTTTTGGGATTTTTCCAACCAGTATCCCAAGAGAAGTGAATATGTACATTGTTTTCGACGTACGCACAATATAGCAATGAAAATAAAATTCTTAGCTATAAATTACATTCTTGTAATTCGCAAAAAAATTTGAACAATTGATTATGCCCCAGGGATAAATATAAATGGTTCTTTATATATTTTAGCTAATCTAATATAAAATGTTCAAAATGCAAAGCGAGAGGAAGCAGACAATGTGGGGGAAAGTACTCCTTCAGATAACAAAAAGATGCTTGTTGGTTTTCATCTATTAGTTTTTTCGAAGATGCATCATGAGTTTCTTTATTATAAAACATTATTTTTTATTTATAATTAGAGGTGAGTAACCAATTTAACATCTTTATGAAAAAACATGAAGAGTGCAGGTCAAGTATGGAACAGATAAGAAAGAATAAAACAATGAAGGTATTCTGAGTGCATTGAAGAGAACAGAATGCATCGTAGATAAAACAGAAGAGCATTATGAAGGTGAAGACCGGCAAAGAGAAAACCAAAGATGTGTTAGAAGTTTTCACTGCTAAAGAAGAGACACAATAAAAGAAACCTGGATATGTGCCTAGACACAGACCTCTAATCTTCTTGTACGTATCTTTGTCGATGTGGCTAAAAGCAAGCAGAGAAAGAACGCGCACAAAGCAGACTTCGCTGTTCAGAAAGATAACATGAGTAATGACCTAGCTTTCTCCTTCAAATATCACAATGAGCAATTAATTTTGCGTCTTGTGTGTGTCTGTGTGTAGGTGTGTTCGTGTGAGTCTGTAGTGTTACATGATATGCTATATAAGTGGAACATTTCTAAATTTCTCATCGCGCCAGTAAGACACTATGATAATCTACGTCGACTACATTATCCTCTTCAAGGAAAAGAACATTACATATATAAAATTGGGTATTGTTGCAGTGGAACATTTTCAAAATCAGTAAATGCTAAGATGTAAAAAGTATGGAGTTGTCACGTCGCGAAAGAGCTTGTCTTCAGAAAAATCCCTGATAACTAGATATTAACTTATTATACAAATAAAAAATTAGATACTTTATCTGCTTTTGGAGAACCTTCTACCTCATGAACGACGAAGGAGCAAGCAATGTGTTTTCGACACATTTGGATCCTTTCAGTACTGTGTGTGAGCGAAAATTCTAAATTTCATTATATTAGTGTCAATTGGCAATCAGAGTGCTTTGATCCATGCGATTGAATTGATCAGAATATCAGATACAAAATTTAATTTTACATACAAATAGGTATTCGGCAGAATCAGAGTTGCCTGTGCTAGTTCAACGCTACCAAGTTTACGTTCACTGTTAATGGTGGTTAGAAGAGAAGTCCGAAGTGTTTTAATTAACAACAGAAGGGGTAGGAAGAAAAGTAGTGCTGTAGGAGAGTACTTAAAAGTTTGCAAATCCGTTTTGTGCAATAAAGTGAATAGAAATAATCACAATTCTATCGACTTTGTCAAAGATGTTTGGGATGATTAATGATTAACTGAAAGAATAACAAATCATAGGATTTTCGAAAGCTTTCTGATATTAGTAATAAACGAGAAAGTATTTGACCTTTAATCTGTTTTAGTACTGAGTATACTACTCACTTGTATTTTCATAGATACTGTCAGTTATTATTTTCATTATCATCATTTTCCTTTATGGATTAGGCTGATCCAGCCTCTTCCAGCCTCGATCTCATTCTTGATTATTATTTTTTAAGCACTGAATCCCATCACTGACTGGGTACTGTGTAAGAATACATTTATCACTTTTTATGAGGTACACTATTTGTCTCTCAATATTCTTCGCAGGATCCTTTTTGGAATTGCATCTCTGGTATGTATTAATAGGAAAAATTGATTCAACTCGCTTTGCAGAATGTTTATGTATGAAAGTCGACATTTCTTCAATATCCTGTTGAATGGCACGCTAGGTGTTTTCATCAAGGGTTCTCTCGACTTCTGCATCACTAAGTTATAAATTATTAATGGATTTTATGATTTTTATGATCCTAATGTATTCAAAAGCAATCACTTGGAGATCCTTTTACAACGGCTTCAAATGGCAAATGCGTTGTAATCTGTAATTCAATACTTCGTTCTTCTTATGTTTCAATTCAAACGTCATATAATCATTGGCTCACTTGCTCACTTCACCGTGATCTCAGTAGAGATGGAGTATAAAAGAGACGTGAGAAGGTCGTTCTCAAAAGTACAACACGAGAAGGATAAGCGGTAACATATTCATATAATGGGGTGTGCCAAAATGCAATTTATTTATCTTTATTTTCTGAAATGCGTGATGACTTGTGTGAGTCATTGAAAAATACATCCCTATAGAAAATTATAAGATTTTCTTTCGTCTTTCTGCTTTGTACTTGATAAAATCATGAACATCCTTAAATATATTTTAATTTGGTGTTAAAAATTGCATACTAAATGTTTATAGCTACGTAAACTATAATTTATCTCGTCGTTCGTGGCAACATACAACAATTTTCTTACCTTGTGAAGTGGGGAAGCTTTCATTCGCTGCTGCGAATTTATGTCGTGTGCTATTACAATTAGTTTCAATTATATCGAAATACTTGCATGAAGAATGTCTTCTTGACAACAACCCCATCAATGCAATGAAATGTGATGTTCGCCTATGCATTCACAATGTTCAGATTTTCATGCTATTTCATTGAACTGTGTCACTTCCAAATACATATTCGTAATGGTTGATACATTGTGGCATTTCATAGTGTTCTATTTTAGTGATCTTGGAGTTTTAAAATAATCTATTAATTTCTTAAAATTATTTACGGGTCTGCTAAACAATATAGCCTCTAACTGTTTACAAGGGGATGCGACTACGATGTCGATGTTTTCAAAACATCGATGGTTTTAGGAAACCTAGTTTTTTATCATCCATGTGTGTTCGATGTTTTTACTCATCATAACAAACTTCTATACTAATTTTCTAAACGCAATATTCTTCAGATTAACGTGACTCAGAATGAAATAAAAATCGAAACGAGTTTTTGACGAAAAGAAACCTATATTATTTTTGAATTATCGAATCAGATAATCGGTTTTGTTAATTGCTCAGATGATTTGACTTTATTTTGTCAGTCAAATTTCAATAAAAATTAATAAATGAAGCCATTTTAAAATTAAATTACCCCTACGTGAACTTCAATTGTTCATGTGGGAGGATTAAATTTAACTTCAAATGTTCAGTTGTACAAACATCGATGATTTTAGTCAATGTTTTATTAACATCGACTTTTGAATTTTGTGCATCGATGTTTTGTTGCCGATGTCGCGCCCCTATTTACCAGAAGCAGGTAGTTGAGGTGGGAGGCGTACCTCTGCGACGACGCCGATGCATCCGGCGATGACGGCCGCCTTGGCCTGCGCGCCGCTCATGCCGCCCAGCCCCGACGTCACGAACACGCGCCCCGCCAGGTCGCCCGAGCCCAGGTAGCGCCGCCCGGCGCCCAGCAGCGTGATCTGCCAGCACAACACACATTCAAACCCAAAATCTTTGACGAAAAGCCCGACTGTTCCTTATAATAACTGTAGTTGCTAGTAACGATGAGATATATTATTTTGCGTAATACTGTACTGTTATAAGGACTTAACGCAACTAAACGAGAACGAAAAGTCACGTTTAACTGCCGGCGTCCTTTAAAGATTTGACAGTACGCCAATCGTTAAAAACGGAAACAAATGAGTTGAAGTTAAACAAGACTTCTGAGTAATGGAATTTGAAAGAAAGAAATGGAAATTTTTGAAACAAAATTAGTACGCAGGTTGTGATACCTTTTAGAATATTACTATACCTATCGTGTCTTGTCGTTTATATTTTTATTTATACTTTTTGTAAGGTTCAAAATCTTTCCCATGCCGGGAATCGAACCCGGGCCTCCTGGGTGAAAGCCAGGTATCCTAGCCACTAGACCACATGGGAGATAAGGTGGGAGAGGACTGGCACAGCTGTTACGCAAACAAATAAGTAGTTAAATGAAAAGTGTAACTGTTGATTGCAATGTTGGTTACGGTGATAACCACCATCCGAATATTGTAAAAATTATTAAGCCATTATTGTCCCTGCAACTTCGTTTGGAATGGTCTGGAAGACTTAATGATTTTCGGCGTGGGTAACCTCGTCTGCAACTGCAAAGAGTTTTATTTGTGCCAAAGAATATATTGTGTCTGGAATGTTCATATTAGTGCACGCTACGAGCTATAATCTTCAACAATTTATTGTACGAGGAAGAGAAAAAGTGGGCCATCGCTAAAAAAGGGGCATAATTATCGTCCAAAACAGTGTAAGACAAACAATACATCTGTCGATTACTCACCGTCGTCCCATGAACGATACCCTGAGGACCAATGTAACAGAAGGATCCTGCCGTCATCTGGCCGTACCTGCGTATGAGAAAAACAAACAAACAAGAGTTCACCTTGAGAAAACTGTGCCGGAAATCAAAGTTGGTGCGTATGAATATTGTCAAGAATCTCTGCACATATTTTTGTTGTCAGTATTTGCAACAATTTCCTCTGAGCCAATTCAATAAACATTCTGTAATACGTAATGAACTGGCGACAATAGGAAGGGTTTATTGGTTCCCAATTTGTCTATTCCAAAGCTGAGTGCTTGAATTTAACAGAGTTACTAACAGAGGTAACAGAGTTAACACAGGTATCAAGGGTGACCGAAGGAGAGCGGTCTGAACTGCTTCTTTTTGTTACTTGCGTAACAAAATTCAAATCCTTTTTTATATGAACTTGAAGTAATTATCCATGAACTTAGTCATAAGTCAAGTCGAAGTCATTGCCTTTTATCTATATTGGCTAGGGCCTCAGCACCCACACCAGGGACCCGTGGTATCATGAGTTACTTCACTTCCGTGACTTCACGGAGCTTTGTTAAGAAGTTCTGCTACCGACGCAAGCTTTCCATCGCTGGATCCCGGGTTCGATTCCAGTCTGATCTAAGTAGAATTCGTTGCGGGAAAAGCGGGTTCGTGGTAAATGTTTCCAGGTTCACCTTCCTGTTCCACACTCCATCTTACGATGACTTCTCATGTTTATTAATTACCTCATAATCAATATCACTATCATCATTACAACATATCACTTAATCCTTACCCAGAAGAAGACGACCGTGTTCAGATTCCGACTTAGAAACAAAGATCACTGTTCCGTCATTCCGAAATTTCTTTCCAAACAATAAATAAGGCTCGTTCACACTAGCTAACTCACATGGTGACTCCCAGGGCGAACATATCGTCGTACTCGTTGGCGCTGCTGTAATGGGGCACCACCATGCCGTTGGTGATGACGGCGCGGGGGGCGTCAGCACTGGATGGGAACAGCCCCATGGGGTGGCCTGAATACAGCACAAGCGTCTGCTCCTCGTCCATTTCGGCAAGGTAGCTCATCGTCAGCCAGAACTGCTCACAGAACAAACGTGATAACCTGCGAGATGCGATGTAGTTCTTGTGGCAGTAGAAGACTCCGTTAAAAGTTACATGGTATACTTTGTATGCGATTTTGCTTGTATCACAAATCAACTTGGCTCTTTTGCCAGTTTGTGGTGGTTAGGCGATTGTGTTTGTGGTGGGTGGATTGGCGATTGAGTTCTGCTGGAAAACTACTCCTGATCCAAGCAGGTTATTGATTGTTTATCACAGGAAATGAACATCCGGGCGAACAGTGGAGATGTGATCAGACCACTAGACTTATCCCGTTGGTCCGGAGTTAGAATTCCGATTGATCAATTTGGAATTTGTGATGGACAAATCGAGTGTGCAGTCGATTTTCTCAGAATTATTAGTCAGCAATACTTTTTGTATTTTCTATTGTGATCCCCAGTCACTGACTTTTATACCCAAACCTGAAATGAATAGTTTTGATCGGTAGGTGGGAATGATAACGATGTTATGATCTGAATGATGGAGATGGCGGAATGAGATGCAGAGGAAATAGGAAACGTCTAAGAAAACCTTCTGCAAACCGCATCGTTCACCACAAATGCTGCATGGATCGTCCTGAAATGGATCTCCGATACCCAGGGGAAGAAAATGAGTAGTCTGATCACTGCACCGCAGGTCGCTTCTTTATACAGAAACGGCAATGTTGATAATAATAATAATAATAATAATAATAATAATAATAATAATAAATTATGATGATAAATAAATAAATAATAATTTCGTGTCCCGATGGTAGCGCTGTGTACCTGCGCCCAATTGGAGAAGACCTGACCGCCGCCCCCATAAGTGACGAGTTCTTCGGGGTATTGCGCCACCGCTGGATCGAGGTTGTTCAGCACCATCAGCATAATGGCGGCGGCCTGAGGGCAGCGCGCCGGCAACTGAGACACCGGGTAGGCGCTGTGGAGCAAACAGGGTTCCAAGGGAAGCATCGAGTTAACGAAAATTATGATGGTGCGATATATGGAATAAAAAATTGGTACTGCATATTCAAATCAATTTCCGGTTGTTCAATACCATATTTAAGTAACACATGCCTGCTTTCGTTGCTAGGGGTCTGTGGCTAGTACGTCTACGTGGGGCTACTTCTACGAACAAGGGTCTACTTTTCCGAACGCGTGTCTACTTTTACGTTTGCGTTATCAAAAGCGAGAGATTGTGACGTGTATGGCTTCTCAAGCTATCACATATCACGTCTGAGCCATATTGATTATCCTCCTGTGCCATCCTTATTCACTCTTCTCTCAGCATTGTTCACCCCTCATGATGATCGCTACCATCCTACATACTTCGAAAGGCAAGGGCAAACAAATCACCATTGAGATACGTGTTATTTTTTAATGTAGTTCTGGGTACGAATTACTTGATTGTAACTTTGTTTAATTTATTCTTTTATTTCGTGTCAAATAGAAAGTTCAGTGAATGTACTGTGGCAATCATTATTGTGACATTGTTTGAATTTCTTGAATATCCTCTGAATTTAAACTCAAAGCAAAATACAGAAGTTACACAGTGGGTTTCAAAGTTAACGTGATAAAATTAGGAGAAAAAGTAATGACACAACTCACAAGAGAAATTTTGAAAATCTGAAGTTGTGCTTTATTTCGATAAACAAATAAGCCCTTAAAGAAAACAGAAAGTTGTAGTCGTGCTTTACAGAATCCGAAAGAGACAAATAACTAAATTGTAAGTTGTTTATGACTTATAAAACAATTTAATGTTTCTTTTCTTTTTTCAAGGTCTTAAATATAGGAATATTCCATATCGTAAGAAAGAATATGGAGCTTGAATAAAATTCCTGTTTATATTATTCTGTTTTTTACATTCCTGCCTTAACTTATGCGAAATTATTTTCAGATTTTTACCGTACCGTACAGGAACGTACCACTTACCGTACAGGAAACGTTGGCAAAAAACGATACATGTAGATGTGTCCAAAATCACGCAGTTCAGCAGCGAACTCCGGCAGCAATTCTTCGTGAGTGTGTGGCGGGAAGTAGCGCAAGGCATTCTTCAACGCCAGCTGCCGACAAAAGAGCAACGTGCCTAGAAACCGCCTTTGGTCTCTTCACGGGCCCTTCGCTTCTCTGTTCGCGGTTGCTGTTAACAATGTTATACTCCTCGTTCAATGTGGAATAGATGGATGACTAATTTCCTTTCTGAAGCAGTTGTTTGAAAGAGAGAAAGAAAGTTGACTTATGGAAACAAAGGACGTACCAAATTATATGTCACAGGCTTATTAATAGAAGAGGTGGGGAAAATATGTGAAAGATTAATGAGAGAGGGGTGTGGTATACCGTGTCTAAAAGAATGATATAAGCAATGTATCGAATACGGATCATATGATAAAGATTATTATATAAAGTTAGGGAGATGTTTTCCAAAAAAGGAATGTCAACATTTTGTTCAGTTTTATTGGTAGGAACACATTTAACACATATTCAAATTATGAAAGATATTAATAAAACGTAGGAATAATAATGTTGTTGTCAATAGATTCCAGTAAACAAATAAAATGGTAATTACTAATGCGTAAACGCATAATTAAAGAAATATCATGAAAGATGCACAAATGGAGGCCAAAAATTAAAACATTAATGTTTCTGAGAGTAGCGAATGTTCATTGGATTGCTTCCAAACAACACATTAATTTTATGGGACAGTGTCTAACGCTGGCTGTCTGTTGATAGGTTTGTCTTCTATTACATGGTCGCTCGTACTGCCAAAGGTGCATAACTAAATTCATGGCCGACATGGAGACGAACCGTGCATGTTACTAGATTATTGCGTCATGTTCGGGTAGTATTTGGGTACTGGTGGAATCGCAATTTGCTATGCGAATTTGAAAATATCCGCTTGTAGCACGTATTCTCCTGATTTTTTGTTTCGTTTTTGGGACAATGTAATATAGGTCAAAACAATCACAATTTTCGGTTCACGACTGACAACAACAAAAAGTGTACACCATGATGTAAGGGTATATTTCTAATGCAAAGCCCATCTTTTCATACACGTTCTCGAAACATTTATTCTAATATCGAGTCTCGAGGTTCAATGTTCGAGCATCACAACTTTAATATGACACTTCATGAAAATATTCTAGTGTAATACAATTCACAAGTTTAATGATATTTCTGAGGTTTGAAAATTTCTGGTTCGGAGTACCAAAAATATAAATCGTACAATCTATAGTCAGGTGGAGATCGATTTGTGAAAAGGGAAGCTAATCGTACGTATCATGAAGAGAGAACGCTGTTCTCGCAAAAACTCTGGCTTTCATCCAAGATGGAAAAAAATCGATATTTCAGTCACTGGCTCTATCGAAGGTCAAATTGCCGGAACAAATGAAGCTTCTGGAGATAGTAGACAAGTATAGGTGTAAGTTATAAGACAAGTGTCTAAGTAGTACGTAATTTGTGTTATACTCGTAGTCCGGGATTTAGTAGGGCTACATTTACGTTCATTCGGAACTTCTCTGCGCTCTTTCTTCACTTCATGTCCGAGGGGGTAGACAAGTACGCAATTCTGGTGAGAACAGAACTGAAGATTCGGAAGATTTCTGAAATTAGGGAACTTAGGATCGGATTAGGAAAAATAGAAATAGTGCAACTTCTAACCAGACGAAGTGGAATCAATGTATGAAGTAAGAAGAATGTCTAAAGTCTGTCTCTGTTCTACCAGAGGTTGTCCACACGTCCGCCTCATTTGTTGATTTAGAAGTTGCACAATTATTGTATGAAAAGTTGGTAAGATTCTGCAAATTCCCGAGATTGGAGAACTTCTGTTAACAAAATAGTAACCGTGGAACCTCTAATCAGATGCGGAATAAATTTAAGTTGAAGATAGATTGTCTAAAAGTTCGAGATTTTGCCTCTGTTCGCAGCGGGTTTACTGGTGATTGGTAGGTCGCAGGTTCTAAAAGACAAGATATCGAGAATTTGAATGATATTTTGAAAATCAGAATTTGAGGCGTTTATCAGAATTGATTTTGCATGACGACCACATCCAGACGTATTACAGGGAGTTCCTAGATTCGATTTGCAACGGGGGAGGGATTTTGGACTCTTGCTACACAGCTAGGTCAAATTGAGCCGCTGTCTGGAGAAGAATTCTAGCGGTCGGCTGCTCCGATCGATAGTTTTCTGTGGTTTCTCTAACAAACGCACCACAAACCGCGCGCGATCGTAACTTCCTTCGGAGCTTCTTTGCCTATCCTCACCCCGTACATGCATACGCTTACATTCACAAGCACTACACTATCACACCTGTCGGAAGACCTGTCCGGAGAGCGTGTCTCGGCGGGGCCGGTGCCTCGCAGGTGAGAGATACCTGGTTGGGGCAAACCCCTGCAAGCTGACGTAGGTCGGTGCGGAATTTTGTCATCCAGCGATCCCTGCCACTTCCCATAATACAACACTCACTACATTTACGGGACTAGCGATATTAGCAATTGACGCGCTCAGAATCGTTAAACAATCAAACCCATTCACTTTCCTTTCTTATTCTCATTTTTTCAAATTCTCTTCTCATTCCGTTACTTTCTTTTCCCAATTTCCCTCCCCGATCCCCTTTCCCATTTCTTTCCTTTCTCATTCCCTGATCCCTTCGCATTTTTTCCACTCGCGGGTACACATGACCTCACCAGTTGAGTGGCCCTACACCCACCCTGGACTCCCAGCCGGTCCGCGCGTGCGTCTCACCTGGCGTCCGCGCGCGTCGAGGGCGTGCCTGCGCACGGGCGCGTGGGGCAGCTGCGGGTCGCGCGCGCGCCGCGGCGGCGGCGGCAGCGGCGCCGTGG